TATATATATATATATATATATATATATATATATATATATATATATATAAAAGAAATCGTTCAAAATTTTCAGATAATAAGTTTTATTTTATATATTTTACAAACCAATAATAAATTGACATGTAAATTAGAAATGAAAATAAATTGACACCTAGGTCATAAGAATTATTTCAATTTTATTTTATTTTATTTTATATTTTCTTGTGAGCGAGCCACCATCCGGCTATTCCGATATCTAATATTAGTCAATTTGATGATTTGACATATTTTTATAGACGATTTTGTCCTCCGGAACTTTATTTAAATAACCACACAAACAACTAGATGGAGGATAAAATGGCAAACACAGGAGATGAGCAGAGGCATTTTGTTCTGGTACACGGAGCATGCCATGGTCAGCATGGTGTTGGTTCAAACTCAAACCTCTTCTTGAGGCTGCCGGCCACCGCGTCTCCGCCTTCGATCTCTCAGCCTCCGGCACAAACACCAAAGTAATACAAGACGTGGCTACACTTGCTGATTACAGTATGCCGTTGCTGGAATTCATGGCCACCATTCCGCCGGAGAAAAAGGTGGTGCTCGTCGGACATAGCCTTGGTGGTATGAACTTGGCTCTGGCCATGGAGAAGTTCCCGGAAAAGATCTCTATCTCAGTCTTCCTCACTGCCTTCATGCCGGATACCGTACATACTCCTTCCTATGTTATAGACCAGGTAAAATAATCTTTTTAATTGTTTTAAAATAAATAAATTACCCTTTTAATCGAGATTTTAATCAAACTTTATTTATTTTTTCACTTTACTTGCTATTATCATATGTCTATATTTATCAACAAATTTTAATCGAAAAGATTATGTTTCCATAACTAAAAAAACTAGTATATTATATGCGTCAGTTAACGTATATTGTTTATGTCCTTTAATAATTAATCAAATACTTCTAATATAACATCATAATTAGTTAACGTTTTGTTATAAAAATTAATTACTTTGAAGTTTATACGTTTTCTTTAGACCGGATGGTATGGGTGGGGAGTTTCTCTCACTTTTTGTGGGCCACCTTACCCTTTCCCACACTTTCCTTTCCCTCACCTAAAACCCAAGGAATTGGTGGGAAGCTCCCCTCGTGATTTTTAAATTTTTTTTTTAAATATATTTCATACATATATTATATTTATTTTGTAGGGGATTAAAAACCATGAATTTTTGATATATTTTTTATATTTTTTTAATAGGTATATAATTTTTAAATATTAAAAAAGATAAAAAAAAAAAAAAAAAGAACTAGCTAACAGAATGAGGAGAGAGAGTGTGACACCCCCTCCCCCACCTCTTTCCCGCGGGTTGCTCCCCTCACCCACGGTTCAGTGTTCCAGTGAGAGGTAAGCCTTCCCGCACCCCTTTCCCGTTTATTGATGTTTTGATATATGTGGTGGAATACCAATTCTCATGATTCTTTGTTTAGTTTAACTCTGCACGTCATTTTATTTTATAGAAAATAACTTAAAAGTATAACAAAGTTATAAAATTATAGAAAAAAACACTATTTAATGAGTTGGTTCATAGCTAATTGACAAAAAAAAAAGTTCGGAAAAAATACTTTTGAGAATATCATATTTTCAAAATT